AGTCTTTGCAACTTTACAGATCTTCTTTATGCACCAAGAGCTTGTAACACTCCAAAGAGAAAATAAAAATTGAAATAGCATCATGTGACCCCTTTAAATAATGTTAGACTCTATATTTCCTCTCAAATTTATCTAAAAAATTAAAACGTATTATGGTGCGTTCTGCATTCAAGTCATGTCGGATAGATCGTATTTACGAGTTGAACGCACATGAACAAACCACCACAAAGTCGTTATTACGAGTGGGAAACTCGAAATTTACTTTAAGCCCCGAGTTTCCGAGTTGGGGGCGTGTCAATGAGAAACATGGCGGAATCGATGGATGCAACGTCTGTAGTTGACGGTAAATTTTTGTTTAAATTGATAGTTTAGTTGTCCTATAAACTTAAATTGGTCATGTTCTTGTTACGCAGCTAGTTAATGAAATCCAAGTAAAAAATGCTATAATTTTTGCACCTATAGGTGAAAAATCTTTTGATTTGCCATGTTGCATGTTGCATTCAGCTAACAGCTTTTTTTAAATCTCTGTATTTTAGCGTTTGTTGATGCTGAAAATCAGTTATACTGGGATCCTGGTCTAAAAAAAATATTAAAAACTCAAAACACACCAGCCATCTTGTGCCGACTAAACTGACTTGAACGCACCTGACGTCGTAATTACGATTTGTCAACTGGTAAGTACGAACATCCCAGGAGGACTTGAACGCAGCATTAGTGTAGTCGTGCGTAACTTGTTGCATTATGGGAATCGTAGTCTTTTGAGACTATGATGCATAATGATGTGGGCACAATAAAACTACATTTACCAGCGACTACAACACACAACAAACATGGCGGTGCCGGAGCATCAGGAGCGTGAATCAGTGAATAGTAATATTAGCCAAGATAATGAAGGCAAAAAATCTGGTCCAATATCTTTCGGTTTTAGTAAAACATTAAGTAAGGTTAAAACTGCCAAAGCGGAAGAGCGAGATTATTTAGTTGAAGTCGAAGGGAAAGAACTTAAAGGGTGAGTTGAAGGCTAACGTTAGCTAGGTTAGCTAATAATCTAACTGAAAGGAGTATGACATTGATTATTTATATGCTTCAACTCTTATGTGTCTGTCACTTCTACAGAACCAAGCCGGTGGAGAAACCGAAGGAGCTGGTCATCCCGTTGATCCACAAGAACCGCTGGTACCGGCAGGATGCTGAGCGAGGGGACAAGAGCAGCGAAGACAAGAGCAGAGACCCGTCCCAGGAGGAGCAGGACACGGTGGAGTCTCTAGCCGTCAAAGAGCTCATCGAGGGTGTGTTGCTCGATTCTTATTCGTTCTGCTGGGTTCGGTGTGTTTCAAAACCTAGTAAGATGCCTACCTTACCTAGGGGGCATTCATTCACTAATGTAAAATTACCAGAAAGTTAAATTATCTATGGTATTATCTCGGAAGTACTATGGTAATAACACTGTACGCGAGTATTGTAACTATTAAATTCCATGGTATTTAGACAATTGTGACACTGTACTGTAAAACATGGCCTAAGATGCCCTTAAATGTTAAGTATCACTAGGTTTTAAAACATAACCTTGTCTAATTGTGAGATGCCAGCTTACGTTTTCAGTGGGTTTCCTTTGCACTTGTAGTGTGCTTCAAATCTTAGAAGTATATTGTTAAAAAAACACTAATTTTGATGTGTTGAGTAACATATTAAAGTACATGTAAAGTACCTGATTATAATTCTAACTGTAGTGTGTTTAGTAATAAATATATGAAATATATTTTAAATGTACCAAATCGCAATGCCATCATTACAAATATGTTATTACAAATATGCTTAAATACAAGTTTCAATAGAAATGAAATATGCTAAAATAGTCTTTGTCATTTCTACTAAAAGTATATTTTAGTTACCAAAAATGCTTGTAGGTGCATTCAACAGTATTCTTTAATCATATTTCAAAGATGATAGAATTATGAAATTACACATAAAGTTTTACTAAAATGGGTCAAAAAAGTAATTTCAAGTTCAACTAATTGTTTAATATAAATGTAAACTATAATACCTTTTCATTTAATTGCAAATAACATACAGTTCAGGGTCTTGAAACATTACATTCAGTTTGCACTTGAGTATATTCTTTTAAAGTGTATTATTTCCATAATAAGCTTTTGTTTTTGTTTTGTTTTTTAAGTATGCTAAAGTGTACTTCTTTTTCATAAGGGCTAATGGAATAATCCATGTGGTTCTATGCAGTAGTAGTTTGTATAGTATTTAAATCCATTGGTTATTCATTGATGTAATGCTTGACATGAAATGTATCATCAATAATTCTCATAACTTAGTTGGTGTGGCAATAATGTGGCTTAGTGGTTATAGATCTGGACAGGTAAGCAGAAGATTGTAGGTGGAACCCTTTCTGTTACTGTAGTAAAAATGCTGCAAGTCAGTTTTGTACACGAAAGCATCTGCTAAAATGACGAATAATGTAATAGTTCTGTTTTAATGTCATCTACTACAGAGTCTCAAAAGCACCAGGAGAGATGGAAGAACGGACCGCAGATGGATCCGAACTTTGCCATTCCTCTTCTCATGCAGAACCAGGCCCCTCAGGGTTTTGAGGATGGAGACAAAGTCAATGTGGATTTGCGACCAGAGTCGGTAGGTTTATGATGGACACAAAAAATGGATGGAAGGACAGGCAGTCCTGTGTAAGCTAAAGTAGAGCCCCTTTACCGTTTTCAGCTGGTCTATCCAGCAATGAATGTTGGTTCTCAGCATGGAAATATGCTTTTTGGTCAAGTTACTTATTAAACACATAAAGGCTTTTGCAAATACTTTGTCTCCTGAGAATCCTGCTCATAGGATACATTTTAGTGTTGAGTTCATCATAGCAAATTGTATTAAATTAAATGGGAAAATCTTGTAAAGCAGGATGAATCCAATGTGGATGAATCCAGGATGAATTCAGATCCAATGTGGGAATGAGTGTGAGGTTACACTGCAAGACGAAAAGGAAGTGTGCGCTAAAGCCTAGTAGACCCTTATACAAGGACATGACTGTGACATTAATGTGAGTCACAATCATACAGATTTAACATTTTGTGAGTTCTGAGAGTTAAGAAATTCTCAGCATTAATGGTTCAAGAATAAAAAATAGCTCGTAGTATTCAGTTTTTGTACGGTTTGTCTAGCTAATGTTATAAGCTATTTGACTGTAGATTAATAGCCAAAAGTTGATAGGGCTGTAGTGATAACTGCAATTTTGTAATATCCGAAACTGACAAGCCAATCGCAGAGTATGACAAGCAACCGCCACAACCGTGATGTTCACTTCTTTTTTTTTTTTCATGAGGCTTTGCCCTTCTTGTTTTACACTTAATGCATGTGTATTGAATTTTCAATAAGTTAATAATCATAACAAGAGTGAAGAGAGTAATATTTTTACACCAACTGGCTCATTTTACGTCATTAAGACTGTGTACCATTGTGAGAGGTTCAGTAGATTTGCACTAAACAGAGAGAGAGAGAGATCGTCTGAGCATGCGCGCTTACCTGCGTCTATCCTTCTTCAGGTCAAGTCATATATTTGTGAAAAAAACAAAACAGTTTGCCATCAGTTGTCAGAAGATGAAAGCGATATTTTTGTCACAGCATCCTTTCAGTGTTTAAAGGGATTTCCCATGACTGACGTCAGTGCTGTTGAATGCATTGATCTTATATGAAGTGAAAGAGCTGCAGCATTACAGGTAACATGTTGATCGTCGGTTGAGCCTTGTAAAGTGGTGCTCAAAGTTAAAGTAATTTCAGCACCTTGTTTCAATTATCAATGAAACAACGTTTTTAAATGTATTAGCTGACTCACCCGTAATGACGGTCTCTTGCCTCCACCTCCTGGTGTAACAATTTAACTGCACTGACTAACAGCCTGTGTAAAATGAGCGTCACTGTACTGATATTGCTGAAATGTCAACTACACTGTTGTCCAGTCAGATCCGAGAATTGGCACTTACTATTATACATATATTAATATACCAGTGAGCTTAATTAGATAGATAGATAGATAGATAGATAGATAGATAGATATTGAGCCACTCAAAATGACTGCAATGGAAATTTCTTCACTGCGACAGCTCTAGTTGTTTAATAAGAAAAACAGCTAATATGTTTTGTCTATATACTATAATTCAAAATTTTGTGGTCAGCAAGATTTGAAAGTAGTATTTATTTGGTTAAAAATTCAGCAAAAACAGTAATATTGTGAAATCTTATTACAATTTAAAATATTGTGTTTGAATAAGTTTTCTATTTGAATATATATTAAAAAGTAATATTTTTCTGTGATAGTAAAGTTGAATTTTCAGCATCATTATTCCAGTCTTCAGTGTCACATGATCTTTCAGAAATCATTTTAATATGCTGATTTGCTGCTCAAGAAACATTTCTTAATATGATCAATGTAAACAGTGAAAACTGGTGCTGCAGATGCTAAATATTTTTGTAGAAGCCATGATACATTTTTTCAGGATTCTTTGATGAATACTAAGTTCAAAAGAACAGCATTTATGTGAATGCTGTAATGGGAAAGTAAATAGACTTTCAGCCTTGTTAATAAAGAACTATTAAAAATAATTGACCTCAATAAAAATCCAATTTTAGTATGCTAACTAATTTACAAGAGCAATAGCTGTTATTAGTACTGCACCACTTTGTGATTGCTGTATTTTGCTGCTATCGATACTGTGTGCAGATACAGATCTTTCAGTTTAAATTAATTGCAAATCTGGGTCACATGAGTGTGTTTGTACATGCTGAGGATTTCTAATGAAATTATATTTGTTGATTTGTGAAGTGTATTTTATTAAAACTCATTAGTGGTCTATCAGCGTATGTTGTGCGGCTGCTGGAGCTGTTGTGTGGCAAATGTAATGGTGGCAAATGTGGTGTCAGCACAGGGCAGTTCAAGGTCATTGCACATGCAGTGCTCTTGTTGCATTTAGTGTGTGTGTGTGTGTGTGTGTGTGCGCTCATGTGTAGGATAAGGGAGTGTCCTAATAAAATGAGTGATGAAGAACTCTCCTGCTGCATCCAAACAGCTTACTCTGCATAAACTCCCTCTCTCTCTTTCTTACTCGCACCTCCAGTGTCATTTTCTCCTGCAGTGCAAGTCCATCACTTGTAGATTGTTGTGAGAGCGCCAGCTACAGCCTGATTAGGATTTAACAAGCTCAAAGACATTGAGTAAATTTTACTCTGCCTGTCAAAGCGCTTGTTTATTCCAATGCATATAAAGAAGCTGTAATATTTCATCTAATTATCATCTTCTCTGTAGGTTGAGGTGTGTGTTACTAATTAGTGTTTTGTGTCTGAATGTGGTTTTGATTGCTTTGGCAGTCTGTGCTTGATTTCTCTGTGGAGATGTTTGAGATGTCAAGTCAAGTCAAGTCACCTTTATTTATAAAGTGCTTTTAACAATACAGATTGTGTCAAAGCAACTGAACAGCATTAATTAGGAAAACAGTGTGTCAATAATGCAAAATGACAATAGTAAACACTAATTTTTCAGTTAAAGACAGTTCATCATTGAATTCAGTGATGTCAACATCCAGCTCAGTTCAGTTTAAATAGTATCTTTGCAATCATTTGCAATCAAGTCAACGATATCACTGGAAATGAAGTGTCCCCAACTAAGCAAGCCAGAGGCGACAGCGGCAAGGAACCAAAACTCCATCGGTGACAGAATGGAGAAAAAAACCTTGGGAGAAACCAGGCTCAGTCGGGGGGCCAGTTCTCCTCTGACCAGACGAACTAAAAACCATGCAGTTAGTTAATGGCATGTATTCAAACAAACGGTGAACACTATTAACAGCAATGATTATATGTTGCGATCAAACTTGTAGCAAAATTTGGTCGTTTTGTATGTTGTGTTGTCTGAGGGTTGGCATCATCTGAGGTCCTCTGAGGGGTTGGCATCATCTCTTCTCAGGTGTTCTGGACCCAGACTGAAGCTTGTGTAAATGCTAGTTACCGTGGCAAAAAAACAGAGAAACAAATAGAGACATAATTAGCATAGCTGCTGTTCCAACAAAGCAAAATTGATTTGTTTAACCCAAACTAAAGAATAATAATGTGCATTTGATCAGATATAACTGCAGTAAAAGATTATGAGATGCATTATTTGAATGCTTGGCCAAAGAGATGTGTCTTTAATCTAGATTTAAACAGAGAGAGTGTGTCTGAACCCCGAACGTTATCAGGAAGGCTATTCCAGAGTTTGGGAGCCAGATGTGTACTGAATATACTATAGAGCTGATGTCAGTTCTGATTCAGTCCACAGATGCCGACTACGACCGTGTTCCTGTGGAGGCTTATGGGTTGGCAGTGCTGAAGGGAATGGGCTGGAAGCAAGGAGAGGGAATCGGACACACATTTAAACAGTAAGGACCTTTCTTTTTCACCCAGTTAAATGTAATTGAAGTCATTAAAATGAGTGGAGAGAGAGAGTTTCTCCCACATGAGCACCACTTTAGCATGTTTCATCTTTGACCTCTGCAGTGTCTTTATAGTTTCGTCACTGTTTTGTGTGATAAGCACTTTCTAATGCACGTGATGTTTGGCTCTCTGCAAGTATTTTCCACTCATGTTTCCTTGTTGTGGGATTATTGTCCCGGCTGGAGACATCAATGATGTGAGATTATGATTTTATGTCAAATGCAATGAAGAATTATTTCAGACCGGCGGAGAGAATCTTTGGCGAGGACTGGCCGCACGCTTTTTAATCTTCTGTGCTTACGGGCCCATCTGTCTGCTTATATGAACACGGAAACACACAGGCTGCTCTTTTTGATGTGCATATGAGAGAGATGTGTTGGCTTGTGGTTTATGTTCGAAATACCCTAATAGCTTCTTGTAAAAAAATTTAAACATTTCTCCTCTTATTTCTTGTTAGAGATGTGAAGCCCATAGAGCATCAGTTAAGGCCTAAAGGGCTGGGTTTGGGTGCCGATCGCTCTGCTATTAGAGACCTGGAGCCCGGTGTCCCCAAGAGACGCCCTAAACCCGGTGAGGAGAAGAAGGAAGAGGAGCCGCTGATTCTGGGGCCTGGAGGATATGTGCAGGTCCTGGCAGGAGCCCATAAAGACCTGTATGGGAAGGTGAATGGACTTTACTTCATCCATATTCACTTCTATGACAGTAATGGTGAAGCAGTGTACTGACAAACTAATGATCAGAAAGAAATAAGATGGGCCATTCAAGGTATTTTTTGTGGCAGCAAAGCACAATGTATACATTAGTGATCTGGGTAAAGTGTCAGGTTTTATATCAATCTACTAAAAAATGAAACCTCTAAAGTTGATTTAAAAAAAAAAAAAAAAGATCAGCTTCAGATGGTAACCACATCCGCTTAGTGGTTAATAGAAGTTGTTAGCTCCCCCTTGTGTCAATAAATAATGCACAATATAGTAAAACAAATATTGTAAGAAATGTAAGTTATGTAAATGAAATGATGGTATTTTTGTTCTGGAATATAATAGTCTGACATTCATTATTTGCTTTTGCTCTTTCCCTGTCTGATTTTGTTTATTTATTTGTTCATTCTGTCTCTTTTTCTTGTTCTCACACTGTCTCGTTGACAGATAGAGGGAGTGGATCCAGATAACGCCAGAGTCGTAGTCAAACTTGCCATCGGCGGCAAGACGGTAACCATCATTCAGCACTCTTTAAAACTAGTCACCCGTAAGGAATACGACAAATACAGCAAAGACCTCAGTAAGTCTGCTTTTACAATTTGTTCACTGTCATTTTACTTTTAAATAAGCGGATATAGTATTTCTGGCTAAGTTTTCTACATACAAATGAATCAAATAGGTTGATGTCCTGACTTTGGTATTCTTGATAAATCTTCTCTGTTTTTTCCCCCACTTAAATATGCTTTTAAAGACAAATAAAGATTAATATTTATTTGCCATGTAAATGAATTACTTTCCAGAATGTGACATTGTTTCTAGTGAAACTGAATGTCCAGAGGGAAGTAATGTACTGCAGGGTAGTGCATTTAATTGCATGTATTTTATGGTGCATTATGATTTCACTGAATTGTTAAAGTGAGTTCTGATTTTTATGTGGTTTAATGTGCACTGATAAATTGTGTTCATAACTTTAAGTAAACTGGGTCAGTTTTGATTTCATGGTGTCTTTAAATTGAATGAGAAAAGTTAAGTATACAATTTGAGCTTGTGGGAAAACAAGCCGGTTGGGTTCAAGCGTTTAAACCCAAAATCAGCAAGGCTTTATTTTTCTGTAATCAGAAGCTGTGTGGTCTGGGATACATATTTCACACAGGCTGGTTTGCACACGTGAAACCGGTTTACACAAATAGTAATAAAAAAAGCCATTTTAAAAATGTAACTATTTTTTACTCTTTTAAAAAGAAAATGTGTAATTTTATTTACCAGATCTTTATCAGTTAAAATGGTCCTTTCTGTCTATCAGGTCGTCTTAGTAAAGCTCACAAGGACAAAGAGAGAGAAAAAGAGCAGGAACAGCAGAGGGAACGAGAGCAGAGGATAAACAGCAAAGATGACAGAGCAAAGACAGATAGAGATCGAGAGAGGGGGAAGGACAGAGACCGAGATCAGAAGAAAAGAAAACACAGAGAATCAAGTGCAGACAGGTAAGTCAGACACTCAATAACACAGTATTTTGCATGTATATGTTATTGAATCTGTATTTAATTGCATGAACTTGCTCTTCGTCCCAGAGAGAAGCCTCCTCCAGCAAAGGAGTCGCGGCCCTCACCTCCAGCCCCCTCATGGCTCCAAAGAGACCTCCATGTGCGTTTCATCGATAAAGCATTCAAAGGAGGCAAATACTACAACTCAAAGGTGCTTCTGTTATAGTGAGCCTGGTTTGTTTCGTAAAGTATCTGTTTTTATGCTGAGAGATACTAAAGTGTCTGTATTGGTGTTTTGGAGGGAAACACACAGGATGTGTTCTTGTCTTCATAAATAAGCTGAACACATTTTGACACAAAATATTAGTATAAATTTAAGTTTTTAATTTTTGATTTTGTTTTGTGTGTTTAGATGAGAGTGGAGGACGTCCTGACACCCCACACCTGTGTGTGTCGTACAGAGGAGGGCAGACTGCTGGACGGTATGACACACTCTGACCTTGACCATTATAAGAGACATTTTAACAGTGAGGCTTTTTGGTCTAATAGCTGGTTGTAAGTTTTACTCATTTGTCTGTTTCAGATATTAGACAGAAGATGCTGGAGACCATTGTACCCAAGAACGACTCAGACTACATTATGGTGGTTCTGGGAGAACACAGAGGACAGGTATATGGATTCACTTGCTTGTGTAGTACAGCATGGCTCTGTGCCAAATCCTAGTGGGCTGCCTACTTAGACAGCATTGTAAGCATCATAGACACACTCCTGACATCATGTTGACGATAATACCCAAATTTGTTAGTTCACTAAAACGATTAAATATCATTTTTGATCATTGAAATAAAGCTAAAATAAAATATAAATATCAGATGAGAAACTTAATGAAACAAAAATTAGAAATGTTGCACTGACAACTAACTGAAATAGATTTAAGTACAAATATTACTAAAACCAAAATAAAAATAAAGCTAAATATAAATATATATTTTTTAATTATATAAGAAAATTAGTCAAACTTAAACTGAAATTAAAACTAAAATCTAATTCAGAATATTAATAAATACTAAAATAACCCTGCTTACGCCTCAGTTAGCCAAAGTAGGGCAGCATGACATTTACACACATTTATTCCAGTTCCAGAATGCACTGCAAAATCCAAGATGGTGAATCAACATTTTATTCACTACTATAAATAGATCCACCTAATTAAAATTAAATATTTGTGTGTACCATGTATGCATCACCTTAGAGTATTACGTCTTTATCTTAGTAACATGTTAACGTGCCTTAGAAAGTAGCTGCCTATGTAGACAGCAAAGAAGTGCACTAGGGTTTGGACTCAAGCCCACACGTTATCTATCTTCTTTATGTATTTGTGGTCCACACACATATTTTGTCACTCGCATAATCATTAAGTCTCATAATTTGTCATTGAATTATATCCATATGCTAAGATGTGCATTTCTGCTGTAGAATCATAATGCATACCTTGTCCTGCAGGTGGGCCGCATCCTGAAGCGAGACCGAGAGAAGTGTCGAGCCATGGTTCAGCTGGACCGATACGAGGAGCAGGTGTTCACACTCGACTATGACGCCATCTGTCATTATGTGGGCGCAACAGAACACTGAGAAGCCAACCGGAAGCCACAAATCACTCTTTATCATCCCAACCCTGTTCTGATGACGACATCGGTTGTGATTGGCTGCTTTTTCCCTGAATTGATAGAGACCAACATATCAGATAAATTCAATTTTAATACAACCAAGACTTCATTTTGCTAGTTGTGCTGTTGTATTTTTAAATGCAGGTTTAAACCCAAATGTGGAGTCATACTTGGACGCAACTGCTGTTGTGCTGTGACAGTGGTACATCTGCATAATCGGATGATCTTGAAGCAACATAATATCCTGTTAGTAAGTCTGTTATGTTGCTAAATAAAAAAGTGACATGTTTCTCTCTGTATAGTAATAATGAACATTTACACAGGTCAGCAGTAGCATCAGTGTTTGAGTGTCTGCTGCTGATCTGGGAAGAAAATGAAATGACATTTCAGCCCAATGTAATTGCGCAAAAATCTCACTGCCAGTTCATTCGAATCCAAACACTTTTGAAACTCTGCTTTGGTTTCTTAGTCCAATAAAGATCTCAATTTGTTGTTTATGTACAAAGTTATACACAAGTCACCAACAATTTCCACTCATGTTATCTTTTTAATAATAAAATGTAAAATTCCTTCAATATGCCTTTGACTTGATCTCTGAATTGCTGAAGCATCACTCATCCTTATCCATATAAAGCCTACTGCATAAAATGATACATTCAATTCTAAGGCCTCTAAATGATCAACATGTCAAAACTTTGCTGAAAACAATGTTTGCGGTACACAATCTACTATGTGCTTTCAGTCATTTATTGATAGTTTCTCATTTTCAGAAAGTAAAAGGCCTTTTAGTATAATTCTAAACAGGTCTACTTTCAGGTCTTGGTACTGTACATGTCTCTTTTGCTGTGAAATCTTTAATGATTCTTATAATGCAAATGTAAGAATAACTTTTATATTGCTATTAATATTTTAAAATGAACATTAATTGCACTTAAGCAACTTGGTTTACTTATTTATCCATAAATAATTTTTAGAAAAAAATAATGTTCAAATGTATAAAATATGATCTGAGGAACGTTTATTTGTACATTTCTGTCATCATTATATTGCATTGCAATATATTTTCCTCCACAATACAACTAGAGCTTTGATCATTAAACTAAACTACATTTAAATATCTTAAGACATATCACATGGGAGATATAAAGTGACGACTGATAACGTTACTCAACAGTAAAACAACACACATGCAAACTTTTTAGACTTTAGTATTTTGTCTAAAGTTCCAAAAAAATGTTACATTTAAAAATATTTTTTTCTGACAATTATTTCATGTTAGGGTTTCATTTCATGTCCATTCAGATGATTCTAAACAAAAACACGATTCATAACTTACCGTAATTTATTTTTTTTATTTTAAATAAAAGCCAAACCTCTGAATGCACCTTTAAACAAAAAGTTTATTTTGCAGGGAACAACATCACTATCTTAAGTAAAATGGCAATCGTTTATAAATTGTATAACATACAACACTGTGTATTTACAAATGAATCTCTGTCCCAAATGTAAGAAAAACATTTCAAAAGCCTTTTGAAAAACCATAAAGGCTTTACAGACACACTATTCCTGCTCAGTCGTCATCATCATCATCATCATCCTCTTCCAGGCGTCTTGTGTTCTCAGCGTTTGCTCTCAGGACAGCTCCAGGACTGGGGTACGGCCTCTGCTGGAACAGGGGTCCTGCCGCTGTGGTGTCCGCTCCGGTCTTTGCCTCATTGCGTTTGGGGAGACCAGTTGACCATAAGCCCCTGAAAGCAACAGCACCACATATTGATCACGAACATGTACTTTATTACAGAAGCAACCTCTTTCCAGAGCTCATGTAAGTGCAATGTAAGTGCATTGCATTGTCATTCGTTGTATACTAAACATTTCTGCAACTTTAGTAGGTATCCAATTGTAGGGCTATGATTTCCGCAATGTGGAAAATACACTCAGTTATAAAAATGGTATTTACTGTACAAAGTGGAATAAATCACTTTAATTGTCTGTGAATATTAAACCTCAAACTACTGCTATTTAAATATCAAGTCTGCATGTTTTATGTCTCTGTAAAAGAACTCAACAGTTTTTGTCTAGCACGCATACTTGAAGCATGCATGACACTCGTTGTGTTTTCAGCATCTGCCATCTCATTATATGAGGACATGAATACATTAACTTTCAGTCACTTAATGAGCATTTCACCAATTAATTTGATAAACCTATTGTCTGATACACATAGAAACTCAAAAGATCTTCATTACAACTCTTTACTACAAAAGTTCTTCAATTTACATCATTACAAAAATATATATTACTATTTTACAGTAGAACATTCTAAAATAGTAATAAAATATTACAGTTGAATTAATAACAATAGTAATAAAGTTTATTAAAACTTTAAGAAATAATAACAAATTTTCTTCCATTTTTTTTTTTATTTAAACAGTAAACCTCAGTAGCACTTTGCCAAAAAAGAAAGGAAGTGTTCAAATTGCATTTGATTTTAAAAGATTACTTGTGTCACATTCATTTAATTATGATTGTTTGTGAAAATACATTTAGGCCTATACTAGAAAAGTAAAAAAAAAAAAAAAAATGAAACTAGAAAAATTTAACCAGACAACATTACATTTCATAGGGCACTATTATGATTAAAATGTTAATCAGTTATTCAACAGCTTTTTTTTTTTCAATTGATTAGCCATCCTTTGATTATTGCATTTTATTTTAAATGAATGATGATTAAAATTGTATTAAATCATTAAAACAGAATTCAATAAATGTACAATGGAAAACATGTCATTTAGGAAAAATAAAATGGAATTTAGATATAAATAAATAAATAATACAGGCCCTACCAATGCACACAGGAAAAAAAAGCCAAATTTGCACCGTATGCATTCTATATACTGCAGAGATATAGTAAAAGTAAGAATAGTGTGCTATTATACAATTTCAAACACATCCATAGTGTTAATTTTAAACTAGCTGGTCATTACCTTGGAGCATCTGAATAGGCACTCGGATCCATAGGATCCATTTCCTCCTGCTGCTGTTTCCGACCTCCTCCTGGTCCTCCTAAATCAGAGTTTGTGTTTATTCAGGCTTATTGAGGCAAAATTTTAAACTATTAATTAACTATTTAATAAGATTATGCATAGATTACCTCTCTTTGATTTGCTATACGGTGCACTGTCATCTCTCCGTATCCGTCTGTCACGCTCCCTGTCTCTGTCCCGCTCTCGATCCCTATCCCGGTCTCTATCTCTGTCCCGCCCGTCCTCCCTGTCCCGTTCCCGCTCTCTGTCTCTCTCTCGCTCTCGATCCCGGTCTCTCTCTGCCTTCTCGTAGTGGCTGTCCCCTTTGTCATGTCCAGTCTCACCTGGGATGAAAAACACAAACAGTTGCAGCATACGTCTCAATAATGTTACTTACAGAAGCACAAAAATGTGTGCACACTTATGTTTTATGACCCTATATTACCTTTCTGTTTCTTAATGGCTTTGGTGATGACAGCTGCCGGGTCATTGGGGGACAACCAGGACACTAAATCCGTCTCTACATTCCAGTAGTAAGGAAGTCCACTAAGGACAAGACACGAGGATGATAGTTATTTATAAGTGACAGCCATTTTGATCCTGTTTCATGGTTTTACCATGGTATTCTTGGAGTATATAATGAGTAATTGAAAGTACCACATTATTACAATCACATGCAATCTTTTTACCATGATACATAATAGTACTTTCTTTCACGTTCAAAACAATTAATCTTTTCCTTGATATTTAATGCAAATAAGCAGATATTATATGGGGGGGGAAGAAAAGCTAATTTATGAACTGCTTACCAAGCAGGGTCAAAAACTTTGTACCAATTCGTTGGTAAATTTTCAAGCCTTGTAGCTTCATAATCAACGTTGTTATCATCATAGTCTTCAGCGATGATCTCCTCTTCAGCCTCTGAGGATGAGAAATAATAAATGAAAGCATCAACTCATGATGTAGTATGTTTTAAGGATCACCCAGTAAGATTAATACGCATGTGTATCTTACCGTGGTCAGACTGTTTCACGATCCCTCTTTTAGCGAGGCGCGCAAGTAAAGCAGGAGGCAGAGGCATCTGAAGAGAGCAAATCAGCAGTTAATCAGCACAGTGCTGAAGAGCCGCGAGGAACCTTAAACTGCACTGACGGGATGCTGATTTCGTATGCAAATAACGGGCAGGATAATACACATGCAATGTTATTAAGAAATACATGACGGCGACTGCATACTTTACCTTTATGACGTCCAGAAGCTTAGCTTTGGTGTTAAGGTTTCAATGAAAAGCGCCACAAGCGACTCTGGCGCAGAACAATGACGTAGCGAAAGCGTGAAGTGACGTCATGTAAGCGTGACGCTTATCTGAACATTTACTTGTATTATTATAAAATATATATATTTTTTAGGAAATACACAAAGCATATGGTGTTTTAACACGTTTAAAAAATAATGTAAACATAACACTTGATGTTTTTAACGGCAAATGGCAACAAAAAAAACGCTGTGAACTTGATTTTTATGCCTTAATTCTTAAGGATGGTGCTATTTTTGTTTTTTTTTGTCATAGACCGATGATGAATTGGCACTTCGAACTAAGTCCACACTATTAATTTAGTATTTTCTTCGGTAAGAAATTCCAAAAGTGGCTTTGCTGATGTTTTTATGTTTAGCAAATATTACATACCTACCACATTAGTGTCTGAATTATCATTACACGTCTCAATGAAAGTAATGCTTACAAACGATTAGATCTCTCCATTATTATAGATTTCCAGCAGACAGTGCTTCTCATTAAATAATAAAGTTTTCTTTTGAGAAAGCACTATTACATATATCTAGTTCCTGGCCTCTAAAGCTAAAACTTATTGAGAAATTGTTTTCAGATTATAAAATTAAGGGATAGTTTATATGGTGCCTTTTATATATAATAGAATTGCATCAGAAGTGTCGACTTTCTCTCGAGAACTATGCATAAAGAAATCCAAATATCCGTCATTTACATTTAAGTAAATATATGAGGCTAATAACCTCTGAATCGTTTTTCAGAAACACAAGGTTCTTAGTACAATGTAACGCTACACCTAAAGAGGGAAAAGAACGTTTCCATACAAAAGAGGGAGCTTTATTAACAAAACACAACAACAAAAACAAGTCTTTGTTGGACAGACTACAGGAACAAGTGTCACATGTTGATAAGTGAGTGTTTAATGGCTGATATTCATCTCATTGTCCTCATCCTCCTCTGTGGAAAAAGAGGAGAAGCAGACTGGCTCGCACTCCAAGGTGCACAGGTTCACAAGACAGGCCGTCTGTGTGCTGCTGAACTCTGGGATTGCTACCAGGAGAACATCTTGTCCTTCAGGTCCTGAGATGAAAAATAAGACAAAAATTACCATACAAAAATATACTGGTAATGCATGGCCACACTTACACACAGTGCTGTGTTTAATATTAAATAGTCTCGTCTTCACCTGTGACTCGTTTACATTGGTAGCTTGGTGCGTTTCCGCTGAAGTACACATGAGGGCATTCTT